AAAGAAGACAACTTGCGGGGGGGAGGAGGGGAGACGGGGGAGAAGAAGAAGAAGACAAGTGAGCAGAGAGAGGGATCTTTCCTTATTTCCCTGGGAGGCAACCCCATGACAATAGGCAGAAGCAGAAATGATGGCTGAGGCCTGGACAAGCTTTACTGGGGCTGCAGTGGAGCTGGCTGACTGAGGACAATGTGACAGGTCTGCTTTGTCCCATTCTCTGTGACCTCTGGAGGGGAGTTCACCCTCATTGCTCCAGAATACCAGTCTGTGCTAGGTGTGTGAATGGCATTAACCATGCAGTGTCTGTGGTGGTGGTGGTGGTGGTTATGTGCCGTGGAGTCAGTTCCAACTCATAGTGACCCTGTATTGGGTTCTGAGGCTGTAAATCTTTACAGGAACAAAAAACCTCATCTTTCTCCTGTAGAACAGCTGGTAGTTTCGAACTACTGACCTTGAGGTTAGCAGCCCAATTCATAACCACTACGCTACCAGAGCTCCTTAGATACCTCTGTAGAAATAGGTTGAGAATCTTCTGGGTCACTGAGTCCATCAGGAGGAAAACATTTAGATGGGTTACTGATTCCACCTGAAATCTGATGAACTCACATGCTGGTATTATTTGGAAAGAATTTTTCAATAAATCATCAAGTTGGCCAGATTACTAAAAAAAAAAGAATCCAAGCTAAGCTGTGACAAGGGAACAAATAGAGGAGATTCATGCCTCGTCAGATGTTCAAAAGGCAGTCAAGCAATTATTTTTGATTGTAGAAGCAGAACAAGAAATGCAAGCCTGTCTAGCTCTTAAAAAAAAAAGTCAATCATTCTTGGTTTTCTGGTTTCTTCTGAGTCCCTACTTTAGGTGAATAGAGAAACAGGAAACTAGTCCTGTTTCTAACATCTCTGCCTCTCCTAGCGTGAAGTCCTGCTCTCATGTGAAGTTTTCCATGCCCCAGCCAGGTTTATGCTTCTTATTCAAACTTACATTAGTAGAGTCAGTCTCAGATTGCAGATTCAACCTGTCATACCTGATCTTGATTTTTAAAAAAACAAACAACAATATTAAAAGCACACCGTCTCATTGTCATTTGCTGGTTTTAAATAGCCTGACTTTTGTTTTTCAAATACTGTCTAGAAGAAAGGATGGTAGAGCAGAAAAAGTGAATAATGAGGAGTCCCTGCTGAATCAGCATCTTCTTTCTCCATGGTTCCTCCTTCTTCTTTAGGATCTGTTTCTTAACCAAGTCCACAAGCCTTTAGTCCCTGGAGTCCCAGCATAGATGGATGGAGGTGGAAGCCCCAAGCCCTGGGCTTTCCCAAGGCCTCCAGCAGCAGCAGCAACAGAGTCTGGCTGTTTTCAATGAGAGAATCATTATGGTAGATCATGATAAAGAGGCCCAGGAGTCCCAGATATGTTCTAGGTGGCACAATGCTTGAAGCTCGCTGGAGAAAGAAAGGATATGGGTCAAGTTGGAGATCATCTGTTCCCTCTTCTCCCCTGCTGCAGTTTAGATGTTTCTGTGGGCTAACCCCACTAAAGCCAATTCCCACAGAACTCCTAGGTCCTGGCACCCCTTAGCCTCACTTTGGACTACCAAACAAACCTCTACATTTTCCATTTGATGGGCACTGGAGCTTTCATGGTGAACTCTGGGGACAAAAGGAAAAATGGACTCATGGGATCATCTCCCCAACCCCTCTTCAGTTACACAGAAAGACTGACTCTCCTGCCTGGGACTTGGTCCCTCTCTGAGTCCAAACAGTCCGGGTGCAGGTGGTGGAGAGCTCTCTCGTTTGGAGCTCAAGCATCTCCAGGGTCTTGGGTCCAGTCACCAGAGGCTAGAATGCAGGACATACACTGAACAGACAAAGCATGCAAAGGGGATGGTATTACCATGCTAATGGCCTGAGTCAGGCGGCCTCCAGAAGATGCTGGGAGAGCTTTCTTTCTTTCACGTTTTTTTTTTTTTTTCCCTCTCAAAAGGAGAATAGTTCTGCTTTCTATTTTACTACAACAATAGCATGGAACGGCTCCTTCAAGTGTGTCAAAAAGCAGCCTGAGAAATCTCTAACCAGCCCCTCAGTCTCTCCAGCCTGCCGTTTTATTGTTCCCCTACCCCAGTGAACAAAGGGGAGGGAAGGGTATAAGGCCCCCATTGCTGGCTGTTCTCAGCATCCTAATCCTTGAGAATCCATGAGGGCAATGGCCTGTGGAGCCTGTAAATCAAATTTACCTTACCTTTTATTCCCTCTCCCTGCTCATGCACTCAGGAGCTCTTCAGGTATTATAAGACCTCCTGGTTAGCAGGTTGGTAGAATCTTGGGACTTGCCAAGGGGATTTGGGAATTTATAAGGGATAAAAGGCATTGAGGGATCATTCCCACATTCACTAACAATCCCCTCTTCACTTCCCTCCCAGGACTTGCCTGTTGGGATTGTTCTTTCCCATCATTCCAAGCTGGATCCATTACGGAATGAAATGTTAAGCCATAAGTGGCCCAAAAGTTCTTACAGTTGGTCCTATAGGAGCTCCCTTCCTGTCTCTATGCCCCTGGGACATGGATATGCCCCTGAAGCCAAGTACCAGCCTTTATTCCAACTTGGAGTAACCCCTCAACAAAGGCAGCTTCTTGGCCTTTGATGGCCAGTACCTTTCCATGGTCATCATCCAGTGATCAAGACCACCATCCAGTTTCGCTTTAAACCTGGGGAACTGTGAAGGTGTTTTTTAGTTCTGCCCACTGATAAGAGTGGAAAAAAACAACAACACAAAACAAACTTCTATGTGCCAGTGTGTGGCTATCTCAAGGGAACAGCTCTGCTGAGTTAAGTGAGTGACAAGCACAGTATCTTCTACAAGAATCAGATAAAGCTGAGGTGGGAAAGTCACCCAGCCTATACAATCCAAGTAAGAAAGACATTTGATATTATAATGCTCATAAACAAACTTGTAACACACACATGCCTTCAGCAAATGTTTCATGAAATAGTACAATATGTGTGATATAATCTGATATTTTTACCTCTACGAGTTTTTTTTTTTTTTTTAAATGCTGGTTTGATTTCATGGCCCACAAATGAGTTACAACAAGATTAAAAAACAGTGAATCAAGTCCAACATTTTCATTTTCAGAGTATAAAATTAGAGACCCAAAGGTTTCCTCAAGATTCCACCAGAACTGAAATTGAACTCCAAAAGTTCTTTCCAATAAAGAAGGACCCCCATTTTTCTAGGAGTAGAAATCTACTTTTGTTTCCCCCAGAGTCTTGGGAGCACTAAAGCCAGAGGAATGATGGTGCTTGGAGACTTCTCTTCAGCTGCATGGCTGCTAACAAGTCAGTTCTGACTCTTAGTGAAGCTGTAAATCTTCAGGAGAGCAGAGAGCCTCTATGCAGAAGTTTGGAGAGCAACCAGGTGAGGTTCTGAAGTCTCTTGTAAGGGGTTCTTGTATCATAAGAAATGTTCTTCTTTTCAGCAGGCACACTTCCACGTCAGACTTTTTTAGCAATTCACTTTCTTCCCTGTTTTCGAACCTTATCTAATAGTAATTCCTTGCAGTTTTTAACCTCCACCAGTTCACTGTGGCACTGTGAGTTACTGGACTGGACTGCCAAGTCTGTTTGAAGTGTAAGGTTGGTGGTTCAAGCTCACCAGCTGCGCCTTGGAAAGCCTATACAGAGTTGCTATGGGTTGGAACTGACTTAACAGCACTTAACAACAATGGCAACTTTCTCTAAATGACTTTCTCTTCCCTGTCAAAAATCCTGAACTTAGCAATAAGCATCAAAGAGGTAAATCTGTAAATCTTAGTCTCATTAACCGTCATCCCCAAAGTTATCCAAGTTAGACCAGGTTTAGTGATGCTATTTGCCCAAATGCCTAGGGATCAGCTGCAGGCATCACATCAGGGATCTCAATACATTGTTGCAGTTTGAGCAGAACAGACTCTTTGCCTTCTGAAATTGCCTCACAATCTTCCATAGAATTTCTTAAGATCCTCATCTAAATTTACTACTTACTAGAATTCTAAACTTTTAAGAAAGCTCCTAAAAATGAATAGTCAAAAGCCATGCCTAGCACTAGGTAAATACAATTCCAGCTTTCTGATTGCTTCCTAGCTCTACACCCTTAGAGTGTATGTAACAAAGGGGCTTGCTGTTTGCTTTGCTTAATCTGGTCTTAAAATCTCTGCTTCTTTGTCAGAAAACAATATTTGCAATTGTAAAAAAAATATTTACCAAGGAACTTGGATAGCCTAAGTCAAAGGCTAAGAGCCAAAGGTCAGTAGTTCTTAGCCCAAATTTCCCTGGACCCAAGGGTCTCTACTGTGGAGCTCAGTTCCACCAAACAAACACATTGCTCTCTGGGTCCATTAAGCAGCAGACATTTGAGAAGGGGAAGGAAAAGGAAGGCTGCAGCGTGTTTCTCAGTCAGAAACATGAACCTTCCAGCGTGCCATACAGAATCCAGCTAGATCTTTGCAATGTTATCCATAAGTATATTGCAGAGGCTTAACCTGTCTCACAGACCTAGGGAAATACTTCACACACAAACTCCTAAAAGGCAGATATTCCTCATATGGGCCCTGGTGGCAATCTGCTCCTCTGACCCCTGTGGTCTAGGCCAGATGCTCACCTAGCCATCTTTGAGGGTAGGGCTTCTTGCCCAACACTGGAGGTCAAATGCATATCCTTAGAATCTCTGTGGGGACCCCTAACTCATAAAGCAGATGACATCAACCCCATTCTTTAAAGTTCAACAGTGTTTACATTTATCCCTCATGTTAACTGATTTTTGGACAGACATGCTGTTGAGCAGCACCAATCATTCAAGTGTCCAGCAGGCAACTAAGATGGAGCTACCACTTGAAGGTCAATGAGCTCCAGATTATGGCTTTGGGGTGCCCCACCCTGAGCAAGAACTCAGCTCCTTCTAAGTCCTAGGCCCATGTCACAAGGAGCAAACAGCAAATCCTTTTCCCTTTCCAAGGGAAAGACTCTGCTAGGACTTAGAAACAGGGAAAGGTAATGGAGGAACTAGGAGGAGACAGGGAAAGAAAGTAAGGCTCTTGGAGCCATGATAAAGTGCCTCCCAGGCTGCCAGCCCAGATGGAATGGCTCTGAGTGGCATGGCTCTGAGGCAGTACTGGCTCCTTCACACTGGTATCAAATGCCCAGTTTCTCACTCCATACTATCTGACAGAAGGACTAGGCTGGCAGCAGTTCCTAACTTGCTTGGTTTGAGACTCAGTCTTTGGTTGTTATAAAATTCTGGAGTTCTTCAACCTCATCTCAACTGTATGTCAAATTCTTGCTGCAACTGCTGATCTCTTGTATCTCATCAGGATAACTGTCATTGGTCCATTGATTCTGTCCTGAAGTAGCTCCTATCAGGATTACTGTGGTAATTACCATCAGCAAAAGGCAGTTCTGAGCAATGAGATGCTTAAAGAAACAGCTTAATCTAAGGACCTTACCTTGAAGAACCAGGCCTTCTTCCTTGATGGCGTAGATAAATGAGGTGAAAGGAGCCAGGGGGGACTTGGCAGTGAGAATCTGCACACAAAACATATTTTTCCAACTGAGTCAAAGGAAACAGAGGGATGAACCTTCACTTACTCCCTTCCCACCAAAAGTATCCAGACAAAGTGATAACGTGACTATAAGTCTCAAGGTTTATTTTAAAAAAACAAAAAACTATTTGAAAACTAAATATTCAAATGAGTTTCATTCCTTCCAAGTGGTCACCTTGAAGAGTCATAGACTTATTCTGCCACTGACTGTTTCTAGAAAATATGTCATTATTTCATGTTACTCAAACAGCTACCTTCTGTCCAAAGATAAAACAAACGGATTCTCTAATTTTATTCATCAAACTTCACTATTTTACTTAAGAAAAAACAAACAACAAAACCACAAAGCCATCCTTAAAAAATTAAGATTTGCCATCATTGCATATACAACTACTAGATGTAAGAAATCTACTAGATGCCTATTTTGTACTTTAATGACATATGTCTGTCAGTAACAAATGTTGAGCTGCAGGGCAAGAGTAACATTGGCAGTGAGGGTTAGGGTTGTGTCAGCTTGGCTGGACCATGATTCTCAATGGTTTGGCAGTTATCAGTCATCCTTGATTTTGTGTTTGAATGTGGTCATCCTCCATTTTTGTAAAACACTAATCTTCACATGACACAGCCTTCAGAACCTAATCATGTAGCTAAAGTGAGAAGTGGGTTTATTCAAAATACCTTGTTGACGGCAATGCTACCTATGGTAGGATATGTTGTGTACTGTTGATCCCAATTCTTGACCCCATCTGTATTCACATCCTTTGCCATGTGGCTGTATTTCCTCTTACGAAAGGGGTGGTGTGTTTCTCATGGCCTTTGACTGTGGGTTTGACCACATGACTTGCTCTGGTAAACAGGTTGTACTAGTTTCCAGTCTAAGCCTCAAGAAGACTCACATATTTCTACTTGTTCACTTTGCCATTGCCAGAGAAGAATATGTCCAAACTAGTCCGCTCTCTCAGAACTATGGCGACAAGTACCTGGAGCAGAGCTGTCTAGCTGGGCCCAGCCAACCCCCAAAGAGCTGGAATTAAATGCCTTTTGCTGTATACCTGTGTGATTCAGTACTTGTCACACAGTATTATTGTAACAATAGTTGACTGACAGACCAGCTAAAGCAAAAATCAGAAGTGTTTTGAGTAAAGCATTATTCTAAGAAGACATTAATTTAAAGGGAATGATGGTCATTTGCCCATTAAAAACTCAGTATCGTTAACTCTAAAAAATATGTGACACCAACCTTCCCCCCACAGCACTCTCTCCTCATCTGGGTTCAATAATTCATTGCAATGGCCACACAGAACTCAGACACCAGACTCACAGTGATGCGGTTTATTAGGGAAGTTAACTGGTTACAATGCAGGGCCAGAGGAGCCCTGGTATGGCGCTATAGGATAAAGCACAGGATTGTGAGGTTGGTTTGAACCACAGGTCAGTGGTTCAAACTCACCCGTTGCTCCTAGGAAATCGTATACAGAGTCCCTATGAGTCCAAACCAACTTTATGTATCTAAACACCAACAACAGGTTACAAATCAGAGGCAGAAATGCTCACGGCAGAGTTCTTTCAGTCAGGACAACCTCTCCTCAGCCATGCCCAGAGGCAGGCCTCTCTCTGCCTAGTCAATGTTACAAAGCTCTTCTAGGGCTGCTGATAAAGACCCACAGGACACACCACCAGACCATAAGCCTCAGCTGAAAGCTATTCCCCTCTGGCTCTGTGGGTCAGCAAACCTAGTCATACCTAGGCCCGATAAGTACCCAGAAACACCCCAATCTGCAAACAAGCCTTGCTGGCTCAAAGTCACTCAGCTTTACTTGCTCCATGGGCTGGGAACCCTACCCTCTGTCTAGTGCTCTGGTTCTTAGTTTTGCTGATGCTGCTCTTCTGCCATTTCTACATCATCAGAACTTTCTTTCCCTAGGTGGCAGAGGCTTAATGCACAGGGACTTCAGGGACAAAGGACAAGCTTCACTCCTGGCTCTTCTTTGACGTTATTGAGAGCCCCTCTCCTGCTTCTAAGATGTCTCATTTTAAACCCAGCAGAAAGGTAACATTGACCAATCCCTCCATTAGATTTCCAGGGGTTTACAATCACAATCCACCACTCGTCTGTCAATTTGTCGTACTGTGGTGGCTTGTGAGTTGCTGTGATTCTGAAAGCTATGCCACCAGTATTTTAAATACCAGCAGGGTCACCCATGGTGGACAGGTTTCAGATCAGCTTCCAGATGAAGACAGACTAGGAAGAAGGAGTGACGAACTACTTCAGAATATTTAGTTACTGAAAACCTTATGAATAGCAGACAAACACTGTCAGATATAGTGCCGGAAAATGAGCCCCTCAGCTTGGAAGGCACTCAAAATGTGACTGGGGAAGAGCTGCCTCCTCAAAGTAGAGTTGGCTGTGATGATGTGAATGGAGTAAAGCTCATGGGAGAAACGCCCACGGGACCTTCATTTGCTGATGGGGCACAACTCAAAATGAAGAGAAACAGCTGTAAACATCCATTAAAATCGGAATATGGAATGTATGAAGTATGAATCTAGTAAAATTGGAAGTTGTCAAAAATGAAATGGAATGCATAAACATCGATATCTTAGGCATTAGTGAGCTGAAATGGACTGGTATTGGCTATTTTGAATCTAATGACTACATGGCTTACTATGCCAGAAATGACAAATTGAAGAGGAATGGTGTTGCATTCATTGTCAAAAGGAACATATCCAGATCAGTCATGAGGTACAATGCTGTATGTGATAGGATAATATCCATGTGCCTACAGGGAAGACCAGTTAACACCACTATTATTCAAATTTATGCACCAATCACTAAAGCCAGTGAGGATGAAATAGAAGAATTCTACCAACTTCTTCAATCTGAAATTGATCAAAAAATCAAGATATATTGATCATTACTGGTGATTGGAATATAAAGGTTGGGAGCAAAGAGGAAGGATCAGTAGTTGGAAAATATGGCTTTGGTGATAGAAATGATGCTGTAGATCATGATAGAATTCTGCAAAATCAATTATTCATTCATTTCAAATACCTTCTTTAGACAGCATAAGAGACGACTATACACATGGACCTCACCAGATGGAATACACAGAAATCAAATTGACTACATCTGTGGAAAGAGACGATGGAAAAGCTCCATATCATCAGTGAAAACAAGGCCAGGGACAGACTGTGGAAGAGCCCATCAATTACTCCTATGCAAATTCAAACTGAAGCTGAGGAAAATGAAAATAAGTCCATGAGAGCCAAAATATGACCTTGAATATATCCCATCTGAATTTAGAGATCATCTGAAGAACAGATTTGATACATTAAATACTAAAGACCGAAGACAAGAAAAGTTGTGGGATGACATCAAGAACATCATACATGAAGAAAGCAAAAGTCTTTAAGAAGACAAGAAAGAAGGAAAAGGTCAAGATGGATGTCAGAAGAGACACTGAAACTTGCTCTCCAGTGTGGAGATGCTAAAGCAAATGCAAGAAACGAAGAGGTACAAGAGCTGAACAGAAAATTTCAAAGACCAGCTCGAGAAGATAAAGCCAAATATTACAACAAAATGTGCAAAGATCTGGAATCATAATACCAAAAAGGAAGAATACGCTCAGCATTTCTCAAGCTGGGGGAACTGAAGAAAATATTCAAGCCTCGGCTTTCGTTATTGAAGGATTCTCTGGGCAAATTATTGAATGAGGCAGAAACCATCAAGAGAAGATGGAAGGAATACACAGAGTCACTATACCAAAAGGAAATGGTTAATGGTCAACCTTTTCAAGAGGTCACATATGATCAAGAGCCAATGATACTAAAGAAGGAAGTCCAAGGTGCATTGAAGGAATTGGTGAAGAAAAAGGCACCAGGAATTGATGGAATACAAATTGAAATATTTCAAGACAGTGAGGCAGCACAAGAGGCACTCACTCATCTCTGCCAAGAAATTTGGAAGACAACTATCTGGCTGACTGATTGGAAGAGATCCGTATTTGTGCCCATGTCAAAGAGAGGTGACCCAACAGAATGCAGAAATCATTGGACAATATATTTGATATCCCATGCGAGTAAAGTTTTACTAAAAGTAATACAGAAATGGCTACCAGCCGTTGTCAATACGTTGACAGAGAACTTCCAGAGGTTTAAACCAGATTCAGAAGAGGCCATGGAACAAGGGATATCATTGCTGATGTCTGATGGATCTTGGCTGAAAGCAGAGAATATCAGAAAGATGTTTACCTGTGCTCTATTGACTATGCAAAGGCTTTCGATTGTGTGGATCATGACAAGTTATGGACAACATTGTGAAGTTTGAGTATTCCTGAACACTTAATTGTGCTCATGAGGAATCTGTATCTGGACCAAGAGTTGTTCAAACAGAACATGGGAACACTGAATGGTTTAAAATTAAGAAAGGTGTGAGACAAGGTTGTATTCTTTCACCATACTTATTCAACCTGTATGCTAAGCAAATAATCCAAGAAGCTGGGTTCTAGGAAGAAAAATGTGGGACCAGAATTGGAAGAAGACTCATTAACAACCTGCGATATGCAGATGATACAACCTTGCTTGCTGAAAGTGAAGAGGACTTAAAACATTTAGAGATGAAGATCAAAGAGCACAGCCTTCGGTATGGATTGCATCTCAATGTAAAGAATACAAAAATCTTCACCACTGGACCAATAAACAACATTCTTATCAAGAGAGAAAAGATTAAAGTTGTCAAGGACTTCATTCTTCTTGGAACAGGTATAAACATCATGGGAAGAGCAGTCAAGAAATCAGACAACGTATTGCATTAGGGAAATCTGCTGCACAAGACCTTTTTAAAGCGTTGAAGAGCAAAGATGTCAGCTTGAGGACTGAGGTGCACCTGACCCAAGCCATGGTATTTTCAATAACCTCATATGCATGTGAAAGCTGGACAGTGAATAAAGAAGACTGTAGAAGAATTGATGCTTTTGTGTTATG